TTTTGAATTCGAACACACCCCTTTGGGGGGGGGATTCTTTCTTTTTGCGATGGGCGGCGAGCTTAGACAGGCGGGCAAACCTGAACGGGCGGACAATCCTTCGTGGGCGTACATGTGCCCGCCATTGGAATAGGCGTGGGCTCTGTAAAAAGAGTAGGGGGGAACGAGGGATAATGGGAGGAATGGAGGGGAAGGGACGAAGGAAGAGGGAAAACGCCAGGAGAGAAAGAGCGAAGAGGGGGGCGGTTGATTAGAGGCAGAGACAGAAAGAGAGAGAGAGAGAGAAAGCGAGAGAGATAGAAAGAGAGAGAGAGAGGGGAGCGAGAGCGAAATAAAGAGGAAGGGAGGAGGCAGGAGACGGGAGGGAGAAGGGAGGAAGGAGAGGAGGGACGGGGGGATAGGGCAGAGAGGCAGAAGGATGAGGGAAGAGAGGAGGGAGAGAGAAGGGAGGAGAGGAGGGAGGAGGAAGAGGGAGGAGGAGCAGGAAGATAAGAGCGTGAACTTTCGAGGAAGTCCTAGACGAAAACGCGGTTCCTGAAGAAAGCCTCGGGCGGGAGCCCACGACGGGCCGGCGATCCCCTGACGGGCGGGTCGGGCGGGTGGGACATTCAAACGGGACGCCTGCGTATGGCGGGAGCGCGATTACTAAGTAAATTGTAGCGGCGTCCTTGGCGCCTTGGCGCAGCGTGTTTCCTGGACGTCGAACGCGCGATTCCTGAATAAATTGCATGGAAATCGCAGGCGAGAGCGCAATTCCTGAATAAAATGCGAGGGGATATCTGGCGGGAGCGGGGGCCTTGATTAAATTAATAGGAGGTCTCGATTAAACTGCGAGGAACTCTCAAGAAGGAGCACCGTTCCTGAGTAAATTCTGAGAAGTCTCAAATGGGAGCGGGGGTCCTGACTAAATTGCGAGGAAATCACAGGCGGGAGCGCCGATCCTGAGTAAATTGTGAGAAAGTCTCAGGAGCGGGGTACTGAATAAATTTGAAAGAAGTCTCAGGCGGGAGCCGTTGTTGTTGTAATCCGGGGGGCCAAGGCCCAGTTTGAGCACGAAGACCTTCCCTGACAAAAAACAAGGTGCGAGCGTAGAGGGGCACACTTTGATGGAGAAAAAAAAAGCATGTACCGGTGATGGTGGGATCAACAATAATTATTTGTCAGAAGTGAATTCAGTAACAACAACAACATCAGCAGCAGCAGCAGAAGCAGCAACAACAGAAAATATAGTAAGACTGTTCGCTCCTATCTGCTCGAATGTCATTCAACGTGTATTGACCGAGCCCTCGATACCCGTCCTGTTCGTCTTCGATCGAACCCTTTTTGGGGGTATATCTTTCTTCCCTGCAGGCCAGGCCCCGGCGAACGGCGGAGCGGCCGCGGAGCGTCGGCCTGGCCAGCGGCAGGGCTTATCGGCGGCAGCCCGACCCCAAGAGAGACGGACAGGGGACCCCGACCACAACGACGACGACGACGAGCGAACGCGACAGCGACAGCGACTGCGAGGCCACGGAGGGCAGGAAAGTGGGCCACAAAGGGCGACAACGGGGACCACGAAGGGCATGCATATGGGGCCACGAAGGGCGCGAACGAACGGGAGCCACAAAGGGCAGATAATGCGGGGCCACAGAAAGCAACGACGGGGACACCGAGGGTAGCAACGGGGCCACGTAGAACAGCGAGGGCGCCACAAAGGGCGACAGCGGGGCCACGAAGGGCATGCATATGGGGCCACGACGGGCACGAACGAGAGGGGGCCACGAAGGGCATACGTATATTGGGCCGCGGAGGGCAACGACGGGGCCACTGAGGGCACCAACGGGGCCACGAAGGGCAGCGATGGGGGCCGACGAGGATAGCAACGGGGCCACGAGGCGCATGCATATAGGGCAACGACTGGTGCGAACGAGCGGGGGCCACAAAGAGCATAGATGTATGCGGTCACGAAAAGCTGCGAGGGGGCCACGAAGGGCTGCAACGGGGCCACGAAGGGCCGCGAGGGGGCCACGAAGGGCAGCGATGGGGGCCACGAAGGGCAGCGAGGAGACCATGAAGAACTGCAACGGGGCCACGAGGGGCAGCGAGAGGGTTACGAAGGGCTGCAACGGGGCCACGAAGAGCAGCGAGGGTGCCACGAAGGGCAGCGATGGGGGCCACGAGGGGCAGCGAGGGGACCACGAAGGGCTGCAACGAGGCCACGAGGGGCAGCGAGAGGGTTACGAAGGGCTGCAATGGGGCCACGAAGAGCAGCGATGGGGGACACCAGGAGCTGCAACGGGGACACGAAAAAACAGCGAGGGGGCCACAAAAGGCATGCGTATGGGACCACGAAGGGCTGCAACGGGTCCACGAAGGGCAGCGACAGGGCCACGAAGGGCTGCAACGGGGCCACGATGGGCAGCGGGTGGCCACGAAGGGCTGCAACGGGTCCACAAAAGGCAGCGATTGGTTCTCTCAGGGGAGCGAGGGGGCCACCAAGGGCTGCAACGGGGCCGCGACGGGCAGCGAGATCCCGATTCATACGTAAGCTGCGAGGGAGTCGTAAGCGTGAGCGCGACGCCTGGGTGCCTGGGTGCTGGGAGCGCGGCGCGTGTGTGAATTATGGGAAATTGCGATGCAAGGGCGCGATTCTTGAGTAAATTGCAAGCGAGTCCCCAGCGAGAGCGCGACTCCAGACCGCCGAGAGAGCGACTCCTGCATAACATGCAAGGGGGTCCCAAGCGAGAGCGCGACTCCTGCGTAAAATGCGAAGAAACCTTGAGCGGGAGCGGGGTTTCTGGCTAAATCGTAAGGACGTCTCAAGCGGTTGCCGTTGTTTTTGTAATCCGGGGGCCAACAACCCAGTTTGAGCCCCGTGACTTTCCCTGCTTAAAAGCGGGGTGCGAGCCCCGGGGGAAACACTTCAATTGAACAAGCAAAATTGTAACCAGAGGAAGGTTCAACAATAATTGTTCTTCATTCAGGGTTCAACAACAACAACACCAACACCAACACCAACACCAACACCAACACCAACAACAACAACAGCAATCATGCTGCCCGAATGATTTACGCTTCTCTATGCAGCACGCATCCATCACTATAGCTTCCCCCTCCATGAGGTATGTTTATTGTGCGCGGGGGTCCGAGACTCCCCCTCCCTTATATCTCACCCGAGATGATCTCGACATCACCTTTTCCGTGGCACATCAGCATCTCCAGCCTGGATGGCACAGCTTTTTCGCGATCACCTTGCCCAAACTTTGCTTGTAGGTATCACGACGCCTGAGCGGCCGAAGACCTGGGAGAGAGGCCTCACAAACTGCTTTTGGGGGGGCCCGTGGAGAACACCCAGCGCATCTGAGAGAAACTTCAGAGCTTAGGCCCCTCAGCGTTCGACCCCTTCTCGCGGACCGCTCTTGCGTCGGCCGCTTTATGATGGCGCTGGGGCTCGTCGTCGTCCTCCTCCTCCTCCTCCTCCTCCTCCCTGAACTCTTCCTCAAAAAACTTGCCCTAACTGTGCCCAAGAGTTCCCAGAGGCCCCCGGCGGCCCACGACGACGACGATGGCGGCAGCGGCGGCGGCGGCGGTGGCGACGACGGCGACGACGCCACGCCCCAGGACGCGAGCGAAAGCGAGGTCGCGCGGAGCAGGCGCGAGAGCGCATTCAGGCTGTCCAGCAGTAGTCATTGTTTAGCGACGACAACGACAACGACAACGACGACGACGACGACGACGACGACGACGACGACGACGACGACGACGACGGAGGCGGCTGCGGTGGCGGCGGCGGCGGCGACGCAACGCCCCAGGACGCGAGCGAGAGCGAGGTCGCGCGGAGCAGGCGCGAGAGCGCGAAAGCGCATTCAGGGCGTCCAACGATAATAATCGTTCCTTGCGCAAGTGTGTTCTAGAGCTCGGATCTTTCTATGTTCGTGGTTCGTGGTTCGTCTTCCTCCCCTGGTTCGTCCTCTTCCCCTGACCGCCTCCCGTGGATTCCTGGCTTCCCTGGGCTCTGGACCATGGCCTCCCGCTGCCCCCCCGCCTGGCCTGGTTTTCCTGGCGCCTGGACCACCCGCTGACCTTCCCCTGCTTCCCTGGGCCTTGAACTTTCCCCACGGGCCCTCCAGGGCACCTCCCCTGGGCCGCGGAACCATGTATATTGTCGTGGTTCGTGGTTCGTCTTTTGGGCCTCCCAGGGCAGCTCCCCTGGGCCGCGGAACCTTTTATTTTCGTGGTTCGTGGTTCGTCTCTCGGGCCTCCCAGGGCAGCTCCCCTGGGCCGCGGAAGCCTTTAGTTTCGTCGCTCGTGGTTCGTCCTCCTCCCCTGGTTCTTTCCCTCGAGGCCTCTCAGGGCAGCTCCCCTGGGCCGCGGAAGCCTCTAGTTTCGTGGTTGGTGGTTTGTTCCCCGGGCCTCTCAGGGCAGCTCCCCTGGGCCGCGGAAGCCTTCATTTTCGTCGTCCGTGGTTCGTCCTCCTCCCCTGGTTCTTCCCACCCGGGCCTCTCAGGGCAGCTCCCCTGGGCCGCGGAACCCTTTTTCTCGTGGTTCGTGGTTCGTCCTCCTCCCCTGGTTCGTCCTCCTCCTCTGTCCTTCGTTGTCTGATTGTGCAAGAGCCACGGCACACGTGCCACTCATAATAATGAAGTTTCAACTAGGACTAGGGAAGCCTCGGGGCCTCCTGGGAGTCTTGGAAAAAAAACGGAAGTATCGAGCGGGAGCGCCAAGCCCCAGCCCCGAATGCGAAAGGAGGAAGTATCGAGCCGGAGCGCTGCTGTTGGGGGGCCAGTGTTGGCGGAACCCCGAAACGCCCGAGCGCGATCCGAATTTCCAAAAGGAAGTGCAGCCGGCATCTAGGCGAGGGCACGAAAGCGCTTTCAGGGGGTCCAACAATCCATCGGCAACAAGTGTTTAATAATAAAGGTTCACCAATCACGACGACGACGATGACGACGACGACGACGACGACGACGACGACGACGACGGCGGCGGCGACGGCAGCTACGGCGACGCGGCAGCAGATCCTCCGCGCTCTCGTCGGCGGCCCCGTCCTCCGACGCGGGCCGCAGCAGGGGCGGTCGCGCGGGCACGGCGCATGGCGCGGTGAAGGGGTCCGTGCCCCGCAGCTCCACGACCTCCGTCGGGGGGGGGGGGGGCATCGGCGCCGCAAAGGCTGTGGCGCGCAGCGGCAGGCAACCGATGGAAGGTCTTTGCCGCAACGATTCGATGAAAAAGGCCACGGAGCTGGAGCAGTCCGGATGAAGCCCTAATTCAAACCTGATGGCGTGGGATCAAATGCCAGACATGCGACGTTCTGACTTTTCCAATGCGGCGTCCCCGGAAATCCGGACCCTTTCCCTGGGACCGGTTTTGCATCTGGAGTCGTTGTTTAACGGTCCCGAGGCCCGGCGAGGGCCCCCCTGGGGCCGACAAAAGTGAAGAACCTGCCGTCCTGATTTTTTTTTAGCCGCGATCATGTCTGCAGGGGTCGGATCGAGCGGGACTAGGCTGGCCGACGGCTTCCGACCAGGAACATGCCGGCGCCGGTTCCGCATATGCCCCCCCCAGGGAGCCCAGACCCCCGACGTCATGATTTTGTTCATGACGTCGACCCCCAGCGGTCAGGACACATTCCCCTGGACCAATTTTTCATCCTGAATCGTTGTTTGACGGTCCCGAGGGCCGGTAAGGGCTTCCAGAGTCCAAAAATAGTGACAAACCTCCCGTCGTGATGTTTCCATAGCTCGAGGGGGTCTGGGAGTGGCACCCCGGCGTGCGGTGCTGGAAGCCGGCCGGCCGTGCGCCGCTCGGCTCGACTAGAGAGAGGCTCGCCTGGTCCTCCGCGCCCTGCATCTCCGCCCGGGCCGCCTGGGCCTCGGCTCGCCTCCCGGGCCTCCCGTTCAGTCGGGCCTGTCCTCCTGCAGGGGAATTTTGGATGACAAATAAAATATAGTCACTAAATGCCCCAGAATAAACAATAACATGCAACTAACATGCCCCAACATGCTCAAGCAAGGCTCAAAAGAACGTCCCCTATACTATATGTTGTTCTTCTTCTTCTTATTATTATTATGATTATTCCTCTTCTTTGTTGTTAGTACTATGTTTGAACGTTCCTCCTGTAGAGGAAGACGCCCGATTTAAGCCTCCCGCCTTCGCTGAGCTTCCCACGGGATGGGGGACTCGGCGCCGCTAGCGGAGGGTGGCCGCGCTGCAGAGCAAAACCATACGTTCGAAGCACGGCCGCAAGAGCGAGGACAATACCTCACCGAACGCCCCTGAGAATCATACCCGCCGGGGGATATCTCGGGGTCTGGGGGAGGGGGGGGGGGGGGAAATTCTCGTCCCGGCACAGCTCGCATGGACGGAAGTCGGGATGGGATGCTTTCCTCGGGGGGCTTCAGAGCTTGCGCGTGCGGATGCGAGTCCCGACGGAAGAAATAACTGCGGCTTCGAGACTGTCGGTCCCCAGCACTCCGGCTTTTCTCGGCAGAGACCTAGAGCTCGCCCTGCGCAGGGAAGTCCTTGGCGGAGCGCGCCAGAAAGCCTCTGTTGCGCACGGTCTCGAAGTGTACGCCCATGCGGCCTGAAATGGTGAGAATCCCACCTCCTTGCCGCACGTTAGTGATCGCGCTGCTACCCAACACAAGAAGATAACAACTTCTATGTATACTTTCCCCAGCGATCGTGAAATTCGGCCTCGCCGCCCCTTGCCCCCGGCCCCCAACAAACTCTGCCTTGGCCTGGGATCGTCAACTTTCCGGTAATATAAGGGGCGGGGGTGTTTTATGACCCGGGGCGCTCGGATATAAGACGACAGAGAAGACCCAGAAGCATAAAACAATAGCACAGGAACGCACGAAGGGCATAAACGAATAAGCATGAGCATTCGGAGGTTCGCGCAGATCTCTTGTGTCGGCGCTGGACCGAAATCCCTAGCGCGCCAGGGGATGACGTTTTTCAGGAACCGGATTTTATACCGATGCTTTTTTCTGGTCCCGCACTTAGATTCGCACAAGAACACGGATTCTGGTGTATACGGCATCCTGATATATACATGTGTTGTTGCTTCCACGGGGAAACTGGGAAACAAGTATACACCACACCACCACGACGTCGCCCCCGACCCTAAAAAAATCCTGGGATTGAAAAACAGCCCGCCACTGGTAATGTATACGTTCCTGTTTCCGAGTTCCGGCGCCACTCCAAGCAATTGCCGTGCTGTTCGTCTGGCGTGCCGCCGAAGGGTCCGACCACCTGCCGCCCGCGCCTGACCTTCCCCGAGGCGCGGCGCTCGCTAGAGAATGACGAAGGGGGGGAGGAGGAGGAGGAGGAGGAGGAGGAGGAGGAGGAGGAGGAGGAGGAGGAGGACGAGGAGGAGGAGGAGGAGGACGAGGGGGAGGAGAGGAGGAGTGGAAAAACGATAAGTGGGAACTGGCACCAGGGGGGGGGAACATCGATCGGGACTCGACGATGCACCGCCGATAGATCGGCGGTTGCCCCCCGATAGCGAAAAATCGCACGTTCCTGGGCGGGGGGCCTTTCAGGCACGTGTCGGCGATCAGTCGGCGATTGGGGGGTCGACGCTTCTCCTCCTGACCTGAGACTAGTTCCCCGAACGTTGCCCCTGCGAGGAAGGGTAATTAGGGCACAGACGGCCCCAGAAGGGCCAAGGTGGCGCACGAAGTCAGTCTTGCCTTGCCTCTCCGAACACACATCATGCTCGTTCTGGGGACCTTCCTGGAGCCACTCGCTCCATTGATGCGCCGATGCTGCGCTGGAGATCCGTCGACTCGAATCGAGCCAGAGGCGGGCTTCCGTCGAGCTGGAGTTGAGCAGATCCGTCAGGTGGGCCCAAGGAGGGTCCCTCAAAACAAACACCGGTTCAGGAAGGTTCAGGAAAGCCAAAGTGGCGCCCACAGGGCGTTTCTCCGATGATCCCCCGAACGTGTGTTAGCGCCAACGAGGGCTTGTCCACCGAAGCTCTTCAATACAACGCAGGCGGCGTTAATGAGGGCCGACACAGGCAGCGCGCGAGGTAATACACACACACACACACACTTTTCTCCGTCGGCGGCTAGGCAGAGTCGCTGCGCTGGCGATGAGGTGTAGGTGGGATGCACGAAACGCGATTTCAGCCGCAATGCACGGGGGAGGGAGAGGAGGCCTGGCGCGGGCAAGAGGGAGAGGGGAGCCGGGCCCGCCCACACACACACACACACACACACACACACACACACACACACACACACACACACACACACACACACACACACACACACACACACACACACACACACACACACACACACACACGCACACACACACACACACACATTGGGGCTAACTCTTTTCGTCAGCGGCCACTTGGATTCAAGCAGCGGTAGGGCAACCGTTGGACGCAACGAAGCAAATGAAGGCGCGGACGCGAGAGGCGAAGAAAAGGGGAAGCCTTAGCGTTGCCTCCTGGTTTTCAGATTCCCCCTCGGCTCCCCAGCGGCCGTTCGGGACGACCTGGGCGCCCACAAGCACCTCTCGGCAAGGCGCAGCTGCTGTGATGACGCACCCCAAGAATGGAACGCCTTCGGGAACATACGAAAACGTCCGGAAACCGGGAGTCCATGCATCCCCATGCATCCCCTGCTATAGCTCTCCCCCCCAACGCTGGTCCTGATCGTCCGCTCCCTGGCTTGCGGGCCACAGCTCGGGCCTCTCGGCGGCCGTCCGGGACGACCCGCGCGCACCCCCAGCACCGCCCCCGGCGAGGAGCAGCTGCTGGAAACCATCCCCGGTACCGAGAACTTTCGAAAATGGTTGAAGACTTACGAAAACGTTCGAACACCGCCCCCCCCATTAAGAAGAGGAGGAGGAGGAGGAGGAGGAGGAGGAGGAGGAGAGGATGAGGACGAGGAGGAGGGGGAGGAGGAGGAGGAGGAGGAGGAGGAGGAGGAGGAGGAGGAGGAGGAGGAGGAGGAGGAGGGGGGGGAGGGGGAGGAGAAGGACGAGGAGGAGAAGGACGAGGAGGAGGAGGAGGAGGAGGAGGAGGACGAGGAGGAGGAGATCACTGCCCAAGGGGGGCGGGGGCGGCCTGCCAGGCCTCCTGCGGCCCGCCCGGCGGCCCGTGCACCAGCAGGCCCTCCCCGTGGCGCAGCTCGGCGGGGCCCACGTCGGCGCCAGGGTCGCCCTTCGGGCAGCGCGGGGCGGTGGCCCGCCGAGGCGGCGCCGCCGATCGGGTCGGACCGTGCTCGGCGAAGGTATCTTCGGAGGCAAGTGCTGGGCGGTCTTCGTCGGAAGGAGCAAACAGGATGAAGCCCCACTGGGGGGCTGCTACGCCGGATTAGGCCGCGGATTAAGCTGGATTAAACCGGATGAAGCGGGATTAAGCCGGACTAAGCGGGACTAGCGCGGATTAAGCCAGATTTCGGATCCAGGGTCGCCCTTCGGCAGATGCGGGGCCTGGCGGCGCGCACAGGGGGGTTGGGGTAGGAGGGAAGGCTTCTTAGAGGGAGGCTGCTTATTTGAAGGCGCGGGCCTTACATCTACAGCGAAGGCCCGCCGTGACTCCATCGCAGAACGCCCCGCTCCGCCGAGCGGCGACGCGCCGGAGGGACGGCGCCGCGCGGAGGCGTTGGTGCGGGCGCAGAGAACGCCCGTGACCCTGGATGCACGGTACGGCCGAAACCCGCAGCCGATGCCGTCGAGGTGTCGTCGGCGCACAGAGGGGGTTCGGGGGAGGGGGGAACTCTTCTTAGAAGCGAGCCGCCTCTTAGAAGGCGCCAGCCTTGCATCTGCAGACAAGGCCCGCGCACTCCGAGAAGCCGGGCTGCTTCCAAAAAGCCTTCCCCCCTCCTACTGCCCCCCTCTGCGCGTGGCTCGGGTCGGGCGAAAGGGATAGCAAAGGGGGGGTTTGAGAATCAGCTCACGTAGCTGATTTGCCCGGCGCCTCCCGGCGCCGGGAGGCGCCCATGTATCGAGGAATGGGCCCCTCGGCGAGGCCGAAACCAGCTGCATGCAGCAAATTTCGTAACCCCCCCTTTCCCAATCCCCCCCTTTCGCCCGACCCGATCCTACTGCCCCCCTCTGCGCGTGGCTGGGGGGCGGGGGCCCGCCGATGCGGCGCCGCCGATCGGGTCGGGCCGTGCTCCGCGGAAGTATCTGCACGAACGCTCGAGGGGCACAGACAGCTGCACAAACACAGCGTCCGGGAGGTCCGCGCGGACCCCCGAGCAAGCATGGGAATGCCACCCTGTGCGCCCCTGCCTCCTCCCCCCCCCGTTCCCCTCCCGCAGCTGCCGCCGGCCGTCCTCGTCCTCGTCCTCGTCCTCGTCCTCGTCCTCGTCCTCGTCCTCGTCCTCGTCGTCGTCCACCTCCTTTTCCTCCTCCTCCTCCTCCTCCTCCTCCTCCTCCTCTGCGAGCTTGCCCTGTGCCTTCAAGGGAGGGTGTCGATGTATAAAGTCGCTGGCCCCTCGTGGTCATTTCAGTACCGCCACCCTCCCCATGAGGCCCAGGAACAATCCACAACACTCCCCATGAGGCCCAGAGTGTTTGTTTTATACTCTCTGGGTTTTGTCCACAGCCATCTGAGGCAGCGCTTGCCTGCGCCAAGCTTCTGTCAGCCGTGCCACCGTGCCCGTCTGTTGTTGCTGTTGTTGGTGATGTTGTTGTTGTTGTTGTTGCTGTTGTTGTTGTAGTTGTTGTTGTTGTTGCTGTTGTTGGTATTGTTGTTGTTGGTGTTGTTGTTGTTGTTGTTGTGGTTGTTGCTGCTGTTGATGTTGGTGTTGGTGTTGGTGTTGGTGTTGGT